GGCTGCTATCTCTCTCTCGTCGTCTGTCTCTTATTCACTTCTTAATCGGCCTGCGATAATCCGAACCCCACCAAGGTGCTACTCTCTTGCTTTAAAATTCTGTTTCGAGTTCCCTCTTCTTTCGTTCTTTTGAAAAGAGCAGCTCCCTGATAAATTTGTGAATCCGTGTCCACCACTACTCATTCTTCATCATTTTTTTCAGCATTTCCACACGTTTAAACTATTTCTCGCCCTTGTCAAGTACCGGCGAAGGACCAAGCACTCTCTTCTCAGTTGCGCTATCTCGACACACCACCAGTAAGGCCTTCTACCCGTACGCCCACTCCCAATTTTACTTATACGCATCGCGGCTCTCATAACCTGCTCGAAGCATTCTACAAGATGTAAGACGTCGAGCCCCAAGTACCTCCCATCTAATACTCTCATCATATACATTCCAATCCACCTGATATCTCCGGCACCTTGACAGGCAAGGTTTGGGTCTACCCCCAACGTCATACGTCTTGCCAATCGAGAAGCCGATGAATTGATGCTCTGTGTCGGTATACTCCGCAGTACTACCTAGTCCTTGATACATCGGGCGGTTAACCCCGAGTGTCAATGATCGGCGAGCCCCATTCCGTAGATTTTGCGTTGAAGTCGCCGAGCACCACGCACTCGTTACCCAGTTGCTCACCTCTTCCATAATTGCATTTAATAAGCTATTCTCGTACTCACTTACCACTATATTCGGTACAATACAGCAGCAGATTCAGTCTCTACATTCTCACCGATATATAGCCCATATGGGCGTCAATCCCATACACTCTTCCTGCTACAAACCAGGCCTGATTCCTGACCAACATAGGGTTTGATTCCGCCGCCACTATCAGATCATCTCTTCTCAGCGGTGGAAGTCAGAAAAAAATCGTGTGATAGTCTCGCCCTGCCCACATTGATCTGGAGAATCCTCTGCTTAGCACCGCAATTCGTTACCATGTCGAGAGGAGTATACGCGCCTCTTTAGGCCCCACTTCCGGAGCAACGTCTGGCTTCGTCGACCAGGTATCTGAACTTAGGCCAGTCTCTCGACCCACTCAAATGACCTTTTACATTGCACTTCATGCAACACTTCATCTTGGCCGTGCATTCCTTGAGAATGTGATCTTCTTGGCCACATCCCCAGCATCCCTTGCGCTCTTCTTCCTCACATTTATTCCTGGTATGTTTTGACAACTTGACACTATAGCATCTTCTTCTTCTTTATGTGCCGTCTTCTACCGAAGGTTGGCGACCATCATACGATAGGTTTCTCTGTTTTGTGCCGCATGAATTATGTTCGCAGCTACTGGTATTTGAAACCATTCTCTCAAGTTTCTCAGCCAGGATTTCTTCTTTCTGGCCAAACCTCTTCTACCTTCAATCTTGCCTTCCACGATAAGCTGTAGCAGACTGTACTTATCATTACGGAACACATGGCCCAGGTATGACGCTTTCCTCATTTTAACAGTTGTTAACAATTCCACCTCTTTACCCATTCGTCTTAATAGCTCTGTGTTGGTCACTCTGTCTGTCCAAGGTATTCTCAGTATGCGTCGATACAGCCACATTTCTAGAGCCGCTAACTTCTTTATAATTGCTGCTGTTAACGTCCACCCTTCTACGCCGTAAAGTAGCGTAGAGAGTACGTAGCATTTCGTGGCGCGCCATCGGAGGTTAATGCTTAGGTTGCGGTTGCTTAAGAGCTTTCTCATTTTGATGAATTTGGATCTTGCTATTTCAATTCGGATCTTAATCTCTACTTCTGGGTCCCACTTGTCATTTACTGTATATCCCAGATATTTAAATCGGTGTACTCTTTCAATACGTTCGTCTTCAATATGCAGGTCGATATGTTGAAATTTTTTTTTACTGATCACCATAAATTTAGTTTTCTTTCTAAAGATCTTCAGTCCAAATCGGCTGCCAGTTGTATTAACTCTATGTAGCATCATCTGTAAATCTTCGATGTTATCGGCCAGTATAATAGTATCATCTGCATATCGAAAATTACTTATTGGTACGCCATTAATCTTGGTACGCCATTAATCTTGGTACGCCATTGGTACTATAGCATCGCAGGATAGGAACTTTCTGCCTTACAAGGCATGCTACAAAAGCCAACCTTCAGTCGTTCCTTTTTTAGCAAATAACAGAAATACGATTGAAAGTAACACCCCTCCAGTTTCATATGTTGCTGCTGCCAGATCTATACCTAAAACTACGTACCCAAAGAAAGAACAGGCTATAGTGTTTCATATAACTCATAACACTCTTAAATTATTTGATTATGTCAAATCAATTGGAAATGTTTTTGGACCGAAAAACATCAGCTTTGCTTCCAGAATCTCGAACAACGGATTGTGCATTTAGCTAAACAGTATCGAATTTGTGACCTCACATTTATTACTCATAAATAATCCTACTGTTCACGTAGGAGACGTAGACCACATTATAAGAAGACTACTTACACCACTAAATGTCTAGTTTTATCAATTTATCTCCATCTATTCCACATGAGCCTATCGAGTCAGCACTCGATTAATGGCTCGAGCAAAGATTATGGCCTACAGGTTGCTTCACTCATCGCGTTCCTGAGGGCAGGAATTTCAGGGGACGAATATACAGCCGCGTCTTCTAATATGGAGACTGAAAACATACAACTACATACAGATTTACAGTCGTGTTCTAAAAATATCATCCAAATGTCTTGGCAAGATCACTGGAATAAAATTCTTTCCAAGCTTCGTGATATCCATACCAGCATTAAAAGTTTGAGCTTGTAATGTAATGTAATAAAATTTTACCTTTGTCAGTGACCTATGCTGCGAAACATGTAAAGCTAAATAAATATATATATATATATATATATTTTATATATAATATTATCACGATATATTACATAGTACTCATTTTTCAAAGTAAAACACTTGCACGTCACGATTTATACAAAGTGACGTCACTTGTATTTGAAATATTCCAGAACATCAACCTTAGAGTTCAAATTTTTCTAACAGCTAATAATACGAAACCCATACGGAACTGCTCGTTCTTTCATAGGCGTCAACATGGTGTAATAATCAGAAAAATGTAATCATCATTATATTGGAAATTTTAGAATTATATTGATTAAATAACCAAAAACATTTGTTATTATTAATAATATAAATTTTATGAAATAAATCTTTAAGTCTAATATTTCACAAAATAATAATTTTAATTAAATATATTAGACAATTGTACGCAACTGATACGGAAATACTTCAAATTTTATTGACAGTTAGCGTCAGTCAGCGTGTGGCAAAAGTGTATAAAGTGTTGCCGCTTTTTTAGGGTAGGAATATTGTTTATGTTTTAATTTCTTACACAATTTGATCATAATAAAATATATAATAATAAATTGTATTTATAAATACATATTAAATTTAGATCAATACCTTTAAAAACTAATTATTGTTGTGTATTGTGATTGTGATATGCCAAAACAAATAATAGTCTGTAGAAAGCCGATAAGCTTTCATATAAGACAGAGTATTTTGAACAAGAAATAATGGCGGGACGTTTTTACTATTAAATCCCTAAAAGAGGTAAGTTTAACATTTAGAATATATAATTTTGTATTAAAATGTTTTCTTATGCATTTTAATGTATTGCAGTAGTCTTAAAACTAAGTGTATTTACTGTTAATATAATAGTTTGACAAATAGTTGACATTTTAAAAATTCCTTACTTACTAACTATTCTGATGCTTTGACAACGCTGTGGGGTTCTGACGACGTAAATCTTGAATGACGTGCAAGCTTTTTTATATGAAAAATGCCATATATTGTGTCAGCCTCAACATTTTTACTCTTTGATAAAAATTTCTAACTTTTTTCTGAACATAGTTGTCTTCTATTATTTTTAGTTATTTTCCACTCATTTTCTCTTCTTTTGTCTACATAATCGTTTAGCTTCGCTCCTTTTGGTTTTATAATGCTCTTTATTTTTTTCTGCATTACTTTAATATTTTCTATTTTTCGTTATTCTTTTATTTCGTATCTCTTTTATTTTTCTGCTTTCTCAACGCTAAGGTCTGCGGCTTCTAGCATGGCTGTTTGACAAATATTAGAAAAAACAAAGAAATATAATATAGACCGCCACTACAAGTTTTTGGACGTAGAAAATAATAAAAAATTATAAAAAGTCGATGATATTACCAAAGCCCTAACAGATATTAGGACTGAGAAGGAGGATGCTCGACTTTAAAATTCCAAAAATATTCGTAGAATTAAGCTCCAAGAGTATCTACCTTAACCATTTAAAACTAACAGATGAGCTACCATGCATGCCTTTCAACTTGGCATTAGAGAAAGTTATGGGAGATTCAGGAAAAATTTAAATGGTGTGATATCCACCAATAATCTACAAGTGATAATTGGAAAAACCCGAGATGCAGTTAAAGCTATGACACGAATCAAAAATACCGTAGAAAACACTGGACTTGTGGTTAATACACAGAAAACTAAATATATGCCGACATCGTCAAGAATTCAACAAAACAACTTAGATAGAGATAGAGATACAATTTATAAAATCTTCGAAACAATAAAAGAATTCTGTTATTCGGAGTAGTGGTGATGTGCAAAAACATTTACTTTATAAGAATTCATATACTTAATTTAATTTTAATTTTTAATAATAATTTATGACAATATCATGGGCGCCGCCAGAATTATTTTCAGGGGGTTCATCTGCTTTTCAGGGAGTGCATTTGCATCTACGCACACTATTAACCAATATCAATTATACAACTATACATATATAGCTATGTACTTTCTTTTCGGACAGTAGGATGCAACTGCACCTTCTTACAGTCCGCTGCCGGCGCCCATGCACAATACATAAGTAACAATAACTTTATTAAAAACGTTAGTATTTTATATTAGCCCCCAAGCTGGCTCAGCAATACATAAATTATTTGGGTAATAAACGTACAGAAATACGAGGTTAAATATTTATTTTTTTATAATTTAACTCTATACAAAATAAATTTTTGACGAAAAGATGTTGACTTCCTAAAAACACTAAATACAAATTTAAAAACTCGCTGGTGTTACTTTACAATCAACTTTACTAGGATAATCGCAAGTAAGCTCGTCTTGATCCCACAAAGTACCAGGTGCGCATGTAAATTGAATTGCCTCTCCTCTTAGACATTCGTAATATTTAGCACAATCATCTTCATCTGGTAACAGGGTTCCGTCATCTTTTCCAACACAAATTGGATCTACAAACAAGATAAATTTTTTTTAATGTGTGTCTCTTTAATAATGTATTTCAAGGGAAAATAGAACTTTATTATAAGAATATTTTTTGATTTTGAATAGTGGAAGTTAATAAAAAGAGCAAATCTAAAACAACTTCAGGCTACGAAACAGACACTTAGAATTTGTAGTGAAATATATAAGGCATCCGAAGTGAATATTTTGAAATCTTCTTCTTCGTGCAGTCTCGATTAGTGGATGTTGGCAACAATTTCGGCGAACTGTGTGAGATTTTGTGATGTTATTCTTCAATCATGGGTATTATTCAGTCAGGAACACTGCCTCTCTCTCTCTATCTTAGAGAGATAGACTACATTTCTTTCTTTCTTACTTAGTTACTTTCTTACACTACACTACTTTCTTACTACACGACCAGCCCATCGAAGTCTCCAAAGTTAAATTAAAATAAAAAATTTTAAGATCGGTGCCTTTTTGAACACTTGGTAGAGTTCATGGTTGTACCTGGACCTCCATAGTCCGTTTTCGTTAATAAAATAAAATATCTTCGTTAGGACTTTTTTATCGAAGACTTCAAGCGTTTTTTTGTGTCTTCTGTAATCACCCATATCTCGCATCCATAAAAGACTATTGGTCTGATAATAGTTTTGTAGACCTTTATTCTACAGTGTGTGTTTTCAGAGCGGAACACATAGGCATGTGAAAAATAAACTTTGTTTTCCTTTACTACTCTTCTTTGAATGTCTGGTTCTTATGTTACATCCCTGTTTAATGCAACTTCCAAATATGCAAAACTTTCTACAGTTTCAATATCGTCCTCTAATTAAACTGTGCGTCTGTTTCTCCTAGCTCTTGCCTTATGTTTTTTTGGCTTTTGAATATTTATTTCTAGTCTGGTCTATTTTGCATCTGTTTTTAATTTTGAATATATTTCGGCCGTCTTTTCTGTTCTGCGAGACGTACTGCTGATGTCATCGGTATAGGCGGCAATCTTTATTGATTTATTTGTTAGATTACATCTTCCTATATTCAGCTGTCTTATCATAAATTCGAGAGTTAGGTTGAATAGTGTCGGTGCCAGTCCGTCACCTTATTCCTTTGAGTATTAAAAAGTCCTCATTGACCTCATTTTGTAATCTGAAAGATGCTGTTAACGAGTCCATTGTTGCTTTTACTAGTCGGATGTATTTTTGGGTGATGTTGAAGCTATGCAATTTTTGATATAACTTGTGTCTATTAATTGAGTCGTAGGCCTGTGAATAGCTGATCAGTTATAGATCTTTCTTGTCGGAAATCGGTTTGATATTCCCCGACAATTTTTTCAGTTAGTTATTGGAGTCGTTTGTTTGGTATGTAAGTAAAAACTTTGTACGCTTTTACTTTGTACATTTTTTATTGATTGGACTATAATCCCGGTTTTCCAGTTACTACGCATCTTTTTATAATTCCAAATCTTTTTCAGGAGCATACACATTATTTGTCATACTAGGTGTTCACCACCTAATTTATACAGCTCAGAGAGGACGTTGTCAATACCTGGAGTCTTTTCATTCTTTTGTGCTTGTATTGCTTGTTTTACCTCTTCCATCGTCGGGGTTCTATATTTTCGATGTCTCTCTCAAGGTGATGCAATTTCATATACTCTTAATTTTCTTACGTCCCTAAAAGAGTTTTAAACTTTTGGATCACTGTTTATTTGACTTTCTTAAAATCTGCATAGATCTGTTCGGATTTTGTATCATTTTCTTACATTAAGTTCATATCTATACGCTTTTCTTATATTGTTGCTTTGAAGATTTTCTTCCTCTTTTGTATATATTACCGTTTTCGTATTTTCTTTTCTTTGTTTGGCATATTTTATCAGCTCTTTGCCTTGCATCTTCGTAGCTTGCTTTTCTTTCTCTGGTTCTTGTTTCCATATATTTCTTGTGTTATTTGTTTCTTTTTTGTATGGCCTTTTTACAATCGTCAGCGTACCATTCTCTTTTTGTTTTTTCTTTTTTTTTGACTATGATTTTTCTTGCTGTGTTAATTACTTTTGTTTTGATTTCTTCCTAATGTCCTTCGATGCCTAGACTGCCTGCATTTGTCAGTGTTTGTGTTATTTCTCTCTCATAGTTCTGTTTGATATAATTTTGTCTCAATTTTTGTACATCTAGTTATTTTGTTGTTTGTTCCTGTCTATCCCCCTGTTTTTTGACTTCTGCATCTGTATTTTTTCTGTACTAGGAGATGGTCAGATCCGCAGTATGCTTCTTTTTGGCTCTTCACATCTTGTATGTTTGTTCTGGCCCCTTTGTCTATTAAGACCTGCAATTTGGTTGTCTGTTGCTATACCAGGCACAATCTATGTTGCTTTGTATACATCAAGATGTGGGAAAAAAGTCGAGCATATGATCACGTTTTTTTTTTACTGGAAAAGTTGATAAGTAATTCTCCATTTTTATTGGTGTTTTGATGGAGTAAATGTTTACCAATGGTTCATAAGAAAAGTTGTTCTTTGCTTGTATTACTTTTTACAATTAATTGGTGGGCGGCATATCTTTTATTGGTTAGTTATTTAGTAATAATATGTAATTGTCTAAGCAAGATTTTCTGTCCATTTCCTTTTGCATTTTTTTGCTGCGTTCTTGACAACTTTATTTGCTTCTTTATAACTTTCTCTAACTCGTTCCTTCTCTGCTTCTGTTCTGGAATTTAGTAGTTCTAAAGTGTTTACGGCGTTTTAATTCTTTCTTTACGCCCAAAATGTTTTAAATGGTTTTCACAAGGGCATTGCTAATCAAAGCATTGTATTTAACGTTTGTGTAAAGACTGATTGTTATGTACAAGGTTCATAAGATAAATGCATCTCTAAACTCTATCTAATCACCATAATTTTCACCAACTTGTGGTAAATTTATGGAAGGGTATCTAATATTTAAATTTGTATTATTATTGTCATTACCGGTACACCAAGAACACGATGTTGTTTTCAGTTTGATTTAAATATTCCAGGTTGATTATTGTAAATACATTGTACACAAGCTTTTTAGTTGTACAAGGTCAAAGTATACAGGTTTAAATTACCCGTGGTCGTTGTAGTTTAATTCTTTTTAATCATAGGTTTTGATTTATAAATGTAATTAATTAAATTCATCAAATGATGTCTCGAATCTATCTTATCTTAATTATGTTATTGTACTCTCGCCTAAATTTGACACATTTATCTGATTAAAATATTGATGTAACCTGGTTAATTTGATGATTTTTTAAGATTTTATTTGCTTTTGTTTACAAAATGATAAAACAGTAATCAATTTCGATGAAAATGATGATATACTTATATTCTATATTTTACTATTGTATGATAATAAATAAATTGAAAGTTATTTTAAACTTAAGTTAAAGAGTATGAAGAATACGCTACTGAATGCTAAGCTAGGAAATGTATGACTTTTACAAAGAATATTATCGTACTTTGGATGTATTTCTATATATAAAGTATATAGTATAATATAATATAAATATTATACATATATATTGATGTATAAATTAATATCATTTTATATAGCATATCGTTAACAAATACAAAACGATCATAAAAATGATAATTTTGCTGCATGTCCATTGATTAAATTACAATAACCTACAAATTCTGCTGTATGGACAATGGCTACCAAGTCGACGGTTGGATCCATCAAACGATCTCGTAGTGAATTACTGCCTTTCAAAAAATATAATTCATCACTTTAAGACATTTAAACCTTGCGCTACAATACCGTTTCAAGAAATATGCATCGATGAAAAACAGTTGTACATGTCCTTACATTGTGATGACTCGACTTTTGGTATAAACTAAGTCAGAAATTTACTATGATGACATTATACTTAAGGTACTGAGAAAAACAAATATAAGTATCCACGCATGTTTAGAACAATTTTCAATAATGACAATGTAATTAAGCTTATGTTAACACTCTAATGCAGTAATTATTAACTTACAGGTGTACATAGTATGAATGTATCTCAGTAAAATAACTTAACGCAGCTTAATTTGAAAATTATTGATTAAATGACAAAACTATAAGCATAAATTTGTGCGTAATGCCAGTATGATTACATATGTACGTATTCAGTGAACAGTTTCACGATAAATTTGCCCTCGTAACAAGATAAAGGTGCGATGGTGATTGAATTAATTGTAATAATACTTAAGTTCATTGTATAGGCGGTCTTTGAATACATTGTAAACCGTTTCATTCCATATTTGACAATGCAATGGTTTATAATTTTGCTGTTCTTTGGACGTAATTTTGGAGAAATAATCGTATTTCATCACTTGATTCATATGTCGCATACCGATTTTATATTGTTATAAATATATTCATAATGTCTTCTACATCAAAACTTTCTAATCTAATCTCTGCGACTAAACAATAGTACACATTAAATTGAGTGCAGTAACAGTAAATTTTAGGTCAATCTTATTTCTTTAACATTAACGCCTCAATATACAATAAATTACATTTATTTGTTAGATTATTAAAACACATAAATTAAGATAATTTAATAATTTACATCGATCTTAGATTTAATTTTTACGTAATTACTTATGTATTTAAATAAATAATTAAAATTTTTTTGGTACGCCTCTGCAAAATTGATAAGTGGAATATGATTTCGTTGAAAAGTTATCGTTAAGGGCTTCGTTAAGTGCGATGTTGCCAAGTAATCACCTTCAATTAAAAATTGTTTTAGTATAATGGTTATTCTTAGAGATGACGCAACGTTTATGCATAATAATTCATGGCCCCACATCCACATCATTCTTCAACAGATAGTTGTTTGTAAAAAATCTTGACGAGGTTCAAATCACACGATTTATTTGACCAGCTTGCAATTCAGATTTAAATTCCATTGAACATTTTTGGGATAAATGGTTAAATCTTTAAGGAGACATATGCCGGCTCTCACAAATTCTAGAGAGATTTACACTTTACATATTCTCTGTAACTTGGTCCTCTGTAAACAGTCTAAATTAATACTCTAGTCTTATTGAGGACAGGGATATCAAAGTATTTCTATTCTTAACACAAATGTGTTTTGCAACATTCCAAGAATTATAAAAGACCAAAACAAAAGGTATTAAAATAAACATTATACAAAGTCGGCTAAAATGCAGCATCTAATAAATTAATATAATACCAGCTAGTTTTCTGAATTTAGTTTTTTCGTATGAATTTTCAAAATATTATTTGCTTGATTCGTAAACGTTTAAGAAACAGTTAGTTACTTTAACAAAATTTTACTTACTTGGGGTAGTAGAAGGTCCTGGTGTGGTAGCTATAAGAAAAGGTACAATTATTAATAATAATACTTTAATTCGTTGTAAGTGTAAACGTTTATTATTATTATACTATCCAATAGATCTTGAATCTAAAATCAAAAACCAACAACCAACAGGGAAATAGGGTGATGGAAAAAACTCAAATAATCAAGGAAATACAAACGTTTTATGAGAATCTGTATACATCTGCTATACAGAACCCCGGAACAAACGGGAGAACAAAAAATAGAACAATTCTAAACGTTGGCTCGGAAACTCTCCCTAAAATAACTTCTTCGGAAATTAGACATGCCTTATAGCAAATGAAAAATAAAAAAGCTCCTAGTTACGATCGTACTATAACGTCTGAAATGTTAAAAATGAGCGGCAACATCGTTGTAGAGGTTGTGGAAGTTTTGTTGAATAAGTGTCTAACAGAAAAAAATACCCAGTCTGTGGGAAAACTCCGAAATAATGCTTTTACACAAAAAAGGAGATACTACTAATATTAAAAACTACAGACTTATAATTTTGTTGTCACACTTATACTAATTGTTAACACGAATAATAACCAATCGCATAACACAAAAACTTGATTTATATCAACCGGTTGAACAGGCGGGATTTAGAAAAGGGTTTGGTACTAATGATCACTTACAAACCATCAGAACATTGGTAGAAAAAACCACAGAATATAATGTACCTCTACATATGTCATTTATTGGCTTTCACAAGGTTTCGATAGTATTGAAACTTGGTCCTTTTTGTCAGCTCTGAGGGATGCTCGAATAGACTCATGGTTACACTTATTAAAAACATTTATGAACAGGCCACATTCCACATCAAAATCAATGAAGACGAAAAAACTGAAAAAATAAATCTTGGTAAAGGTATTAGACAAGGTGATACTATTTTACCAAAGCTTTTTACCTTAGCGTGAATAATCAACAATAGATCAACTATTCACGCTGAGACAACTTCTAGAAAAGGGATGGGAGTATAACAGACCCATACACAATCTTTTCATAGACTTTAGACAGGCATATGATAGCGTAGAAAGAAGCCAAGTATGGAATGCCATGGCGGAGTTCTCAATACCAAAGAAACTCATTCGGATGACCAAAGTCTGCATGGAGGGTGGAATATCTAAAGTACGTGTAAATAATAAACTGTCTGGCAGCTTTAAAATCAACAATGGACTTAAACAGAGTGATGCGTTATCTCCACTACTTTTTAACCTTGTATTAGAGAAAGCCATGAGGTCGGCCGAAATAAAAACAGAATTGCTATCGGTTCAAGGTCCCAAGCTATTACTCGCATATGCAGATGACATAGATCTCGTTGGAGACTCCATCCTATCCACGAAAGACATTTTCAACAAGGTGGAAGGAGCAACAAGTGAAGTAGGGCTGAAGATTAATGAAGAGAAGACGAAATATATGTGTATAAATAGAACGACACGAAGAGATAGAATAGGACAAAATGTCACGGTCAACACCTTCAATTTCGAAAGAGTACAACGTTTTAAGTATTTGGGGGCCGTAATCACAGCTGACAACGATGTCACTGAAGAAATAAAAGACAGAATCCAATCTGCAAACCGCTGTCTATTTGCACTGGATAAGCTCATAAAATCAAAAAATCTCACAAGAAGTTCAAAGATCAAAATCTATAAATCCATCGTCAGACCTGTAATAACATACGGATGCGAAACGTGGACCATGACCAAAGCAAACGAAGAAAAGCTCAGACGCTTTGAACGAAAAATACTTAGAAAAATTTTCGGACCTCACCATGACATCACCACAAACCAGTATAAGATCAGAACCAATATCGAATTAAAAGCACTCTACAACGACGCCGATATTGTACAAGAAATTAAATCACAGCGACTAAGATGGGCAGGCCACGTGCACAGACTGCATAACGAAAGACTTGTAAAACTGGTATGGGAGGAGATTCCCACAGGCAAAAGACCACTCGGACGTCCCAGAATGCGATGGAGAGATAACATCCAAGCAGATCTCCGGAAAATGAACATTCCATTTGACCCTAGGTTGATGGAAGACCGAACAAATTGGAAAAAAGTTGTACAGTCAGACAAGACCCACCCAGGGTTGTAGCGCTACGTGATGATGATGATGATGATTTTTTTCTTAGCATTGGAAAATGTATTCAAATAGCTCGACTGGGAGCAAAAAGGTCTAAGCGTTGATGGTGTAGGTTTAAGACATTTAAGGTTTGCGGGCAACATAGTATTATTTAGTACAGATATCAAGGAACTGGAGCAAATGCTCAAGGAATTAAATCAGTAGTCAAATAAGGTCTTAAAGTGAATCTTCAGGAAACAAAAATAATGAGTAATTTACAAAGTAATGTTGTTATTGACAACGTCAGTCTTGAAAATGTAGACTACTATATATATATCTTAGACATACCAATAAAATCGACAAAGAAAACCAAATAGCCGAAATAAAAAGACGCATACAATTGTCTTGGGTAGCTTTCGGCAAGTTAAGCATTATCTTGAAGAATAAAGATATGCCAATGTGTCTAAAACGTAGAGTTTATGACAAATGTATCTTGTCTTTAACTAGATATGGACTGGAGACCATAGCCTTTACAAAGAAAACCTTAGAGAAGCTTAGTATAACCCAAAGAGCGATGGAGAAGGCCATGGTAGGGATTAGTTTGAGAGACAGGATACGAAATATCGACATTCGTTAAAAAACAAAGATTACTAATGTCACAGAACGTATAGATAGGCACAAGTGGCAATGGGTCGGGTATGTTGTCCGTGATAATCCTGAAAAATGGACACAGGGATTAACAAACTTAAGACCAATAGAGAACAGGCGAGGAGTAGGCAGACCACAGAAGAGGTGAGCAGACAATATTGTTTGGTATTTGCATGGAAGTTGAAGGTTATTACACTCGATCTGCTTTATCCACACACTTTTTGCTCTTATTTTACAATGAATCCCTATTTGAACATTTAAATGGAAAACAGTAATACTTACTTGTTACTGGAGCACGACCTAAAAGAAAAATTAATTAATTAAGTAATGTTTATAACACAACGCACAAAAATAGTATTTTTTTAATAAATCGCGCATAATGAATAAATTAATTTTGTCAGAATATATTGTATTAAAAATAACTAACAACAAACTTAAGAAATAAATCATTCAAAAATATTATAACTTTACAATTTGTTGTAACAAAAAACGTATTTCATGATTTGTGACTCATACCAGCAAGATATTTGGAAACAAATTAAGATGCCACAAAAAGGAGTTTTTAAAAAATGCAAAAAAACGCATTTATTTCAACTTTTCCTAAACTAAAATACTTTGCCTAAAACAGTACAACATTTATATAAACAATACCAAGATTTAACAGTGCCACTTGCACGGCCTACGGTGAATTAGAAAAACAACTTCTGAAATATAGTATCTTTATTACGACTATCCTATTTCAGTCGTTGTAGTCATGAGAAATCCTGAGACTTGACAAAGAGAACCAAAGTGCGGAAATTACTAGAAGAGCAAGACTAGCATGGGCATGGGCAGGATTTGGAAAACTTAGTTGGATACTTAAGAACCGCAAAATACCCCAATACTTGAGGATCAAAGTGTTCAACCAATGCATCCTTCCTATCATGACATATGGATGTCAAACCTAGACCCTAACCAAAGCAAACATGAATAAACTAGCCACAACAGAAAGAACAACGACTGTCAGATAAAAAGAGGAACGACTGGGTAGGATCCAAAACAAAAGTCGAGGACATAACAATAAAAATTGCAAAACTTAAATGGAGCTTCGCGGGCCACACTGCTAGACAGAAAGACCAACGTTGGAATACTACAATACAACATTGGAGACCTTACGAAAGTAAACGACCAAGAGGAAGACCACAGATGAGATAGCTTGATGACATTAGAAGAATAGCCGGAACAAATTGGAAATATGTTGCTCAGGATAGAGACCGATGGAAGGAGTTGGGAGATGCCTATGTCCAAACAGGGACGACAGAAGGCTAAGAAGAAGAAGAAGAGTCATGAGAAAGGGTTTGGATAATTTGCCTTTGAAAGATTAGGAACAAGCTTTTTCAGCATCTTTATTGATGTATAGTGTAATGTTATACGAAATTTTTCTTGAAATAATTATTTTATTACAATATCTTTCGTTATTCATCTATTAGTTTTATCTTTTATTTTAATATTTTTATTCCTAAAATAGTTGGCTAGCATTAAAATTTTACTTTTGACTAAATATTCTAATCCCTTCTATCTTCAGACCCCACTATGTTTTATGCCGTGAAATATAGATTTCTATAAAATAATATATGGTTAAATGCTCGCATATATGAACTTTACAAATAAAAGGAAGATAGCGAGCACAGTTTTTTTATTAAATCTTGCTCAAGTAATTTCGCTCTGACAGCATCTTCAGGAGCATTTCGTCAAACATTTTTGTTTATCCAGCACATTATTGAATATAAACATTTAAATACATTTTCACAAAAACGAACAATAGATAAAGGACAAAAAGGTTAAAAAATTGTTTTGATACTACATTGTGAGCAACGACAAGAGACATAATGACCTGACCATTCTGTCAATCGCACGGCGTCTCAGGAGAAGTCAATCTACAGTTTTAAATATTTTAAAAAGTTATCACGAGACAGGATATTTTGTACGAAGACCTGGTTAAGGATGCCCAAGGTGTACAACTGCAATTGATGACTATTTTTTGGTTCTTAATTCTACACGAAATTACTAATTGCCATCGATGAACATCAGAAATGAGCTACTAAATGTTAGACAAGTTAATGTGAGTTTAAAGACAGTTAGACGAAGATTAAAAAAAGAAAACTTTAAGCCTAAACACCCTTCTAAAGTTCCACGTCTTCTTCAAAATCATAAAGCTCGACATATAGAATTTGCACAACTAGAAAATGTTCTTTTCACTGATTAGACCAGAATCCTATTATGGAAGCCAGACGGTCGAAACCATGTCTATAGAAGAGTTGGAGAACGATTCGTCATCTACAATCTTGCCCAGACCATTAGTTTTGGAGGTGCTGGCATAATGCTTTGGGGAGGTATTAGTTGGGAGGGATGCACTGCACTTTTGGAAGTGTTTTGACGGATGTGTGATTCACGGACTCTTATGTTCAAAACATCCTATAAAATCATGTTTTGTCATAAGTCGGTTTTCATTGAATACGACAGATTCATTTTAATGTACGATAATGCTCAGCCACATGCTGCTGCCATAGTAATCAAATTTTCTTGATGGTATACAAATTCGAACATTGGATTGGATTTAGAATAGACTCAAATAAAATGGACCACATATGGAATACAATACACGAACAATAAACGACTTGATTGACCAGAATTTATTAAAAAAACAATTAAAAGAAAATTCCAAAATATTCGATATTTTTGTATTTTATATATTTGATATATATTATTTTAATTGCCGTATTGTCAGATTCCAGTAAGAGCCTAAGAAGGTATCCATTGAATTCTGACAGGCAATGGTGGGGGAAATCTTTTTAGGATTAAATCTTTTATTAAAATTAAATCTTCTTGTCGTCTCGAAATAAGATACCCTGGCATCTTTCGGCCGAGTAGGATACTGAGCCATAAGTTTCTAGGGTAGTGCCGGATTAACCGTGTTCCGGCTAAAACCTTAACCACCGTTCGACAGAGAGGATGTCTTGCCACTTAATAAACAACTAAAATAAAAAACTAAAAATTTATAAATAACCGTACCTATTACCATAAATCAAAAAATGTTTTCTTCCCGCTCCTTTTTCTTCATCATCCCAGAAATCAGTTCCTTCTCTCCTCTCAACATTATGTTTAAATTGTTTCTTTCATGCAGCCCGAAACCTATTCGTCTCTCAAAATCTCCGTCTCATTTGCCCATCTCCGGCAGTTAAAAATGTGAGTGGAAGCGTCCGGTACACCAAAAACAGTACAGTCTGCCGAGGCAGATTTGCCTATTCTATTTGTGAAGGTTCCAAAACTACCATGTTTAGTCAGAAACTGCGTTAGGAAGTAGTCTAGATTCCTGAACTTCCCACCACGGTCTCAGATCGGGAATAAGCTCCTTCGTCCACCTTGCCTTTTCACTATCATTCGCCCATTCTCTCTGCCACTGTACTATCGTTCTTTCTTCTTTACCTATACTTCTTTTCTTCTATACTTCTTTCTCTCTTATTCTTATATATATTTACATCCATCCTCCTCTCATACATCCTCGCTCGCTCTTTACACAACAAAATGATCGGTATCACCGCTCCAATTACATATAGAGCCTCATTTGAGACTGTCCTATATGCGCTAGATACCCTGAAGAGCATTCGCCATTACGAAGTCTCCATCAACCTAGAGCATTTCGCAGTCTTTAGTACACTACACCACACAGGGGCAGCGTAGGTTACCACCGACTGAAACACTCTATTTAGCACCTTTCTTTTGGTGCTTCCTGGGCCTTCAATGTTTGGCATCAGCCGTATCAATACCTCCAGATTTCGGTTCGCCTTCTCTACTGTCTTTATATTTGATATTTAGGTGAAGGTTAAACATATCGTTTTGCGGCATAGCATCCCCATTTCTGTACTTTTTTTCCCATCTAAATATTATTAGCTTTTCTAAGTACCTTTTCTATTTATTTATCAGTTTCCTGGTATCTTCTTCGACTACTTCTGCGTCGTTTATTGTTTCTGATCCAGGTATATTGTTTTTCAGATATTCTTGTACCTCTCGTTTTGTGTCGATGTCTCTTAATTGTTGAAAGTCGTATTACGCAACTTGGTTGTGATCCGACTTAATGCTTACGATGGGGTATGTTTTACCGATGCTACTCAATTTCCTAACTGATTATTTCTCACAATACCATTAGTGGTTCCAACTTTATTCTTCCATTTATTCCATTTTAGACTTTAGTTGCATCTTGACAAAACATAATATCAACTGCTGTGGTAACTGCTTGATATTCTTCAGGCATTGCATAGAGTAACTGTGATACAACTTCACTATCTTATACTTGACTTCCAGCAAACCATGACAAATATGTTTAACATATTTAAAGACCCTGTTGTGTATTTCAATGACCTTAGTTTCCGCTGCAGTTGAACCTGTGTCGAAATTCCTTTCTCTTGGTAAGTATTTTCCAATATACCTATAAATATTCTCTTTGCTGAAGTATTTAATTTAAGCATTTCCAGTATATTGTCATGCAAACGTTGCACAATTAGATTTCGGATTTTCACGTTATTTTTCTTATATAGTTCTCGGGCGACATCGCCTACAGGTTTATCTTGGGATAGTATAGCTAAGACACAAGCGTGTTTCAGTAACAATTTTACTGTGAATAACCAGTTGGAGAAATTATTTCCATCAAAATGTTTGATGTTTGCAACATTTGCTTCCTCCATTTTTGTCGTTTAGTTCCGTACCACGTTTTCCGTAAACACTTTTGTTTTTTAATTACTACTATGTAAGCTTCTTAAGAGACAAGAGACAACGGAGGAAATCGAGATCAAGAAAGGCGTAAGACAGGGTGGTATACTCTCACCGACCTTATTCAATCTATACTCCGAAGACATTATAAACACAGCACTTTCGGATCAAAATATAGGTATTAAGATAAATGGCATCCGAATAAACAACTTGAGATATGCCGATGACACGGTACTAATCGCAGAAACTTGGGAAGATCTTCAAATACTAATTAACAAAATAGTAGAATGCAGTGAAGAACACGGATTATCACTTAACATAAGCAAAACAAAAATAATGCTAATATCTAAATCACCACAAAACTTCCCTGACATAACCGTGCATGATCAAAGAATCGAACGTGTAAGAAGATATAATTACCTGGGAACTGTTATCAACGAAAATAATGACTGCTCTGAAGAAATCAGAACCAGAATAGAGAAAGCTAGAGCCACATTTACTAAATTGAAAAAGGTGTTCTGCGGAAGAGATCTAAGTCTAAAACTTAAAATTCGCCTTTTGAGATGTTACGTTATGTCAGTTCTCCTCTACGGGATGGAAACATGGACATTGAAAAAGATCGATACCAAAAAGATAGAAGCATTTGAGTTGTGGATGTATCGTAGAATATTAAAAATACCCTGGACAGAGAAAGTAACAAATGTGGAGGTTTTGCGGAGAGTGCGGAAAGAGAAAGAGCTGATACTTACTGTTAAAAAGCGCAAACTACAATATTTGGGACATGTTATGAGGGGAGATAAATACCAGTTGCTGCAATTGATTATACAGGGAAAGATAATGGGAAAGAGATCTATAGGAAGAAGAAGGCATTCATGGTTGAAAAACTTGAGAGAATGGTACAATTGCACCAATTACCAACTGTTTAGATCTGCAGCATCAAAAATACGCATAGCTTTGATGATAGCCAAACTTCGGAACGAAGACGGCACTTGAAGAAGAAGAAGCTTCTTAAATTTTTACAAATCTAGGACCATAACCTTTGGAGATTCGTTATGGAAAGTGCTTATAAATGGAATACTCAGCGATACGTTGACAAAAATAAACGTTTTTATTTTAGCACAAATTTCTGATTACAATCTCTCTAGGTTCTACTTGTTGACGTTGACAGTAATGCTACTAATAATATACAATATAGAATTGTAATACTAACAGTTTATGTGAACAATTCTTGATAAAAAAATGATATTTGATGTTGATATAAGTAAAAGAACATAGTACAGATTATTCTAAAAAACGCTGATTGTCAAGTTTATGATAAGAGGAAGAGAGAAAGGTTAAATTAGGCATAGTTCAAGGCGATGGTGAAACGAAATCTCTCAAGGGGATTTATTGATATGAGCCAATATAAAAACATAAAGAAATATGTCCCAGTATTATTGAAAAACGGAATAATGATTAGTATAATAAACCTTTTATAATGTATTTTTTTGGGTAGACCACAGAAAAATAATGAGTTTAGTCTGACCTGAATTACAGTTTACATGTCGAATATATCAAACATTTGTTAGTTAAAATTATCTAATAATTTTTAAATTTTTGTGTTCCAGGTACAGATGTATTGTACATTATAATATTTATTAATCAAAATACTTACTGCAGTCAACTTCACTAGGAAAATCACAATAGTTTTTAATATGATTCCATAACAGATTGGTAGGACAAGTTTCAAGATATCTGAGTCCGTGGTCACATTCATAATATTGCGAGCAATTACCAGGAACATAATCGTAGGTAATTACGTCAGAGGGATAAGGGCAATGAGGATCTGGAGTAAAATCTAAAAAATATAATTAATTTTATAGATTTGTTGTTGTTTGTTTGTGTTTAAATGACTGCGGACACTAAATCCATTCGACAATCTTACAATTTGAGGTGTAGTGTGTGTGTGTGTGTAGAGTAATTGTCTTGATACTTAGCAAAGTCGACGTCATTGTCTTTGCTAAGAGACGCTAATTGTATCCGAACGTCTGCGGTCCCTCCGGTGTGTACCGATCACACAAGGATAGAAATTATTTTCATTTATTAATTTTTTTAATAAACGAAAATTTCCACCCAGGTGGGATTCGAACTCACGACCTTTAGATTTAAAGGCAGGCGCTCTTACCACTGAGCCACAGAGGGGGTTTAAATTTTATAGATAAAGAGTTTAAATTAATTAATTTAAATGAATGCTATGTGTGAAAGTGTGAAATGGTTATATGGACATTTTTTCTACATATTTGGTTCTTGAAAAGCTCTTGAAAGTACCTACCAAACTGGTACGATGTACATATCTCAAATCAAGTCTCTTTTAGCCTAAGATAGCCGATGAAAGCGAGAATTAAATAAGTAGATAGTATTTTTATTAGTACTATTCATTACATTAATGTAGAGAATATTGTTCTGAAGCTATTTACTTGTGGCATTTCACAACAATTTTAGTTAAAAATATGTTTAATTAGCTGTTTAAATTTACACTTCGAAAATCGTTCTCAAAATATAAATTAAACAAATTTTGTTTCTGTTAATTGGAAATACAAATTAATTCTTCTGTTAACTTATTGTTAATTGGAGACCAATTCCAATGGTAACTTAAACAGCGTAATTTGTAACAACATATAATGTAAATCAAATGTAAATTTATATCATTTAAAGGGTTGGACCCATATATTTTGGTGGTTCATAGTATGTATACCTCGTTTGCACTGATGATGGAGTTAATAATCCGAAAACGTTTTGCAATATCTTTGTGATAGCCCGTTTGGGCATTTTATTATATACCTTTTATAAAGGATTTTAAATAAATTTTTTGTGATATATGGTATACAGCCAGCTACAGGAACTTAGTTTCCTAGTGGAAACTTATGGTATAATCTTTTCTTTTCTGTTACCGCATTTTCGACGTCTTCATTCCACCAAAGATTGTTATTAATTTTATTTTGTTTGATTCCTAAGACCTCCTGTGGTGTTTAATGAATACTTGATATTATGTTCTCATATATACATTTGGTATTTGTTAGTGTTTCGTCAAGTTTTGAGTCCATTCGAGTCTTATATAGTGTACGGGTGCTCTCATGAATTAAACTAGACAGATTGTATTGAGGAAGATCAATTCTTTCTAAAAGTTGTTCGTCTGGGCTTGATGAGACACTGCCCTTTAATCTATATGGGAAAACAATTTTTGCCCTGACCAAGTGGTGATCTGATCAGCATACTGCTCCTCTCATAGCTCTAATATCTCTAATGAGTATTTGTGAATTTTGTTTAACTATCACGTAATCTATTATAGACTTAAGATTCCTTGTTTCTTGAAACCATGTATATTTGTGTATGTTTTTGTGACATTAATATCCGTTAGTTATTTTGAGTCTATTACTTTCACAGAGATTGATAAGTCTTTCCCCGTTATCATTTACGACGTCTTCTCCATAAGGTCCAATTACATTGTTGTGGCGCTTGTTTCCTGTTCTTCCATTAAAATCGCCTAATAAAAATATTTCTCGGTTATTTCCAACTCTAGTAATAACTTCGTTTAATTTTGCAAAGAATTCGTCTTTTGTGGTTACACTCTCATCCTCTGAGGGGCATAGATTGCTAGTATTGTTGTTTTTTTTTATGGTGTAGGGTCATATTTACTTGCAGGATATTTTCATCTATTGCAGTCCATCTGGTAATTTTCCTTTTAAATTTTTTGTTAATAATTACGGATACTCCTCTCTTAGCTCTTTCTTCATTTGGTACGCCGCTATACAGGTGTATGTAGTCTCCTATCATTATTGATCCAACGCCCTTCTTCTTTGTTTCAGTGAGGGTCACTATGTTGAGGCCAAGTTGTTTTACTTCTTTGATGATCTCTTCAGTTTTACCCATTATTCCTTGTACATTCCATGTACCTATCATCATGGTCCTTTTTCGTAGCCGTTTTTTTTTCGACTATTTAAATAAACTGTAAAAAATTCTTTATGTTTACCTGTTGGTCGAGTAGGATCTGGTGCCCTTGTACGTGGAGCCTCTGAAACAGATAAATTAGATAAATTAGATAAAGAAAAAATACTACTCTACTCAGTCTTTTCTTCTAGGACCTAATACTAGTAACCTATTTGTTAAAAAGATTCTTACATATGCTTTCAAAGGAAAAAAAAACTAAGTAAAACACTTATAAATATGACGATTGTTTTATAAACTACATACATATTTAAAAAATGAAGACGTAATTCACAATTTAAGTATATCTATTTCCGTCAAAAATTGTGGCATTACTCTATTTCTAAACATTATAAAGAGATATAGTACTTATAATTAGTTATCTGAATATTCTTATAGTTATAGTTAAACGTCTTATTTATTTAAATCAAGAACAGGCAGGTGATATAAAAAGTTATGTTTTTATTGAGTTTTATGGAAGTGAGAAATTGAAGAAATATAGATTGCTCATAGTCTAGGCGGGATCTGTTTTGGATTGGAAATTTTCAAAGGAAAGCTATTTTTTTGCTGGAATCCCTTCAGGATGTCCCCATTATCGATAATCACGATATGCGCCAGTCGCAAACCCTGTGCTAAATTTTTTATTAAACAAAATCTGAAAACAATTGAAAATTTCTCATTTTTTTGCACCTATTTTCATTTATAATTCGGAAAATATTGATCCTAGAGAAAAAATTATAGGTAGTTAAAAGTTTCGTTATTAAATTTTACACAATATTTTGTTAGCTAAAAATTGAAAATTTAATGGTTATTGTTGAAAAAAAAGCAATAATTGGAAAAAAAGTACAAAAAAATGAAGTTAATCCTTTAAATGTTTTCGACTTTCTAAACTTGACTTACAAGTTCCATATTCCGCCTAGAAAAACTTTTTAATATGTTTAAAACGTGTGCTAAATTTTCTTAAGATCGGTCGGATAAGTTTTGCATAATAATTTTGCAATCCAGTCTACTGGAAAAAAATCGAAAATTTTCAAATTCATAGTAGGCCCTAAATAAGGCCCTCAGATAGTTGCATTTTTTTTTACATATAAAGGAAGTCTCAAACTTTCAAACGCTTTTTGTAAAATTTAAATCGGTTTACTAGGAGACCCTAGAAATTTTTTTAAAGTTATAAACATTTTTCAGGCTTATAAACAAATTAAATAACTTTACGAGCTTTAAACATATCAATTTTAAAATGTATACACTTAAAGAACATCAAAAAAGAACATTATTGAAGGTCAAAGTTGGTATACATTTGCCGTGTAACCATAAGTGATAGAGTGCTCGTTTTTAAACAAATACCCTCGTCTTGCCAAATACTTTTTATATGAAAAGTTTTACGTTATGCGCTTCATGGCAAAATCCATAAAAAAGACAAATAAAAAACCGTTTTCGCGTAAAATGTCGCTCGGAATGCATGAGAGGTGGTGGTGAGGGACATTCACTTCAAATGTGAATCGGCGAGTATCAAGTAGGGGACCATCAGTTTGTTTAATTTTGGGTTTTGAAATATAAACAAAAGTAAAGTTCTCCAAAATCTGTAAGGGCTTGTAAAGTAAATTGTTACTTTTAGTAAACAAATATGTATTTATAAATTGTTAATAAATAATTTGAATTGTTAAAACGAAGGAATTTTTTTTTTGTAAAAATCAAACATTTTAAAATATTTAACATTAAAAATAATTTATTTCTGCAGTTTTATCATAATAATGACATTATTTGATTTGAGAATATATTTTGATTCGAAAGTGACGTGTATATTGTATATTGACGTGATACTGCTGTGTAATGCTCGAAATTGTTTTTTTTTGAGCTTGCAATTTATACATTGAAGTAAATTGTTACTTTTAGTAAACAAATATGTATTTATAAATTGTTAATAAATAATTTAAATTGTTACAACAAAGGCGAATGAAACAAAAATTTTCTTTTCATAAATAATAATATAATAGCGTTGAACATAATATGATCAAACCACTGAAAAACCCCGAAATTAAACAAACTGATGGTCCCCTACTTGATACTCGCCGATTCACATTTGAAGTGAATGTCCCTCACCACCACCTCTCATGCATTCCGAGCGACATTTTACGCGAAAACGGTTTTTTATTTGTCTTTTTTATGGATTTTGCCATGAAGCGCATAACGTAAAACTTTTCATATAAAAAGTATTTGGCAAGACGAGGGTATTTGTTTAAAAACGAGCCCTCTATCACTTATGGTTACACGGCAAATGTATACCAACTTTGACCTTCAATATCTCGGTAACCAGTAAGCCGAATGTATCTTTTTGTTTTTTAAAAGAAGCGTCTTTTAATGTTCTTTAAGTGTATACATTTTAAAATTGATATGTTTAAAGCTCGTAAAGTTATTTAATTTGTTTATAAGCCTAAAAAATGTTTATAACTTTAAAAAAATTTATAGGCTTTCCTAGTAAACCGATTTGAATTTTACAAAAAGCGTTTGAAAGTGTGAGACTTTCTTTATGTGTTAAAAAATTGCAACTATCTGAGGGCCTTATTTAGGGCCTACTATGAGTTTGAAAATTTGCGATTTTTTTCCAGTAGGCTGGATTGCAAAATTATTATGCAAAACCTGTCCTACCGATCTTAATAAAATTTACCACACGTTTTAAACATATTAAAAAGTTTGTCTAGGCGGAATATGGAACTTGTAAGTCTTGTTTAGAAAGTCGAAAACATTTAAAGGAATAACTTCATTTTTTTGTACTTTTTTTTTCAATTATTGCTATTTTTTCAACAATAACCATTAAATTTTCAATTTCTAGCTAACAAAATATTGTGTAAAATTTAATAACGAAACTGTTAACCACCTATAATTTTTTCTCTAAGATCAATATTTTTCGAATTATAAATGAAAATAGGAACAAAAAAATGAGAAATTTTCAATTGTTTTCAGATTTTGTTAAATAAAAAATTTAGCACAGGGTTTGCGACTGGCGCATATCGTGATTATCGATACTGGGCATATCCTGAAGTGATTCCAGCAAAAAAATAGCTTCCCTCGAAAATTTCCATTATGGTCTGAATTTCTACAGATGCCGCCTAGTCTATCAGTTAACGATTCTATATCAAACAGTAACACCTCTGTACGGCCGCTTAAAGATAGTCCGCTTCACTACTTGATCGACCCCCTTCAAAATTTGTTAAAGGTTTTACGTTTCAAAAAGAACATCCGTTGCCATCTAAGCAGGCGTTTTTCGATAAACTAAGTGTTAACTCGTCGGTTAAAGCACATTTCAGCAATCTTGAACATTTCATTTCACATATCCTCGAGTGAATCTGAACCTAGATATACAGTGTACTTGGTCAGTTGAGGAACATAATCAGCTACTCTACAACTGCATCTTCTTCTTCTTCCTTCTTTATTATGGGCGAATCTCCTGTTTAAACTTCATCCACCTGCATCAATGTTCAGATTGTCGCTCCACCTTTTTCGGGGTCGGTCTATACTTCCACATCCCGTTGGTGATTTCTTCAAGGGATTTTTACTATTTTTCTTTCTTCCAGTCTGCTAATATGGTAATTTTACTCTTTTTTACTGTATAATGATGTCTTATATTTATTTGGTAATCTTAATTTTAAAAAAATTTAAGAGGAAACTAAAACAATCCTTAAATAAGTACGAATTAACTTACCTGTTGGAGCTGAGGGATCGATTTCTGAAAATGGAAAGTGTATAATTAACAGTTTTCAACAAAGAATTGTCATGGTTTTTAAGTTTTTTTCAAATTTCTAATCGTTAATTAGAAGTTGGTTATGAGAATTAGTTTTTTGGGTATCTACATAAACAAGTAATAACTAAACCACACAGATTATACCTACTGACAATATAATATGGATATCAAATCAGGTTAAAAGTTGTAAATCAGATGTAAAATCAAATGATAAAGTAAAATCATTATAATTGTGTCCTAAAAAGCAGAGATAACTAACGATATATTGACAAACATATAAAATGCAATAAAAAATAAATGCTAACATTTGTTGTTGATAGATTTACCCATCTATCAACGAGATAGCTGGGTAAATCTTAAAGCAGAAGGCCATAACTCAGATATTATGCAAAGAATTGGCTGATTCAAGAGTAATACTATACTATAAATCCTCAATTTAGAAGAGTGATTTCATCGTTTAAACGCCGAATATCCTCAAATTTAAATGTACACAGCGGCCCTTTGAAAACTACCCGTTTTCTCATTTGGAATTTGCGTTTTCTCATAAGAAATTACAGAGTATATAAAGTAGTATATTTATTTGTGTTTCTCTATAGAAGACTTGACCAGGAGTTGTCGTACAGTATAGCCAATTCTTGTTCACAAGTAGTAATTATTTTAAATTATTTTACTTTCAATAGTAAAAATTAAGCACAAAATTGTAATGAAATAAATTTTTTTTCTATGTCTCGTTTCGTTACATATTTAAATTTATAAAATAAAAATCGATATTTTAAAACATTATTTTTCAATCGTTTGACAACTTTGGAATTAGCGAGGGAACTTCGATCTACAATTCCTACCCACAGATAGCCGCTAAAATCGTTTTTGATATTTTATGGCCGAGCAAGTGCCGATCAAGAAATCAACAATCGTTCATTTACCTTGGTGTTTCTAAGGGTAGTGAATTTTTAGTTATATTCTGTTATTATTTAATTTGAGTTTTATTGGAGTTTTGGTTTATAGTGAAGTTTTAGTTATATTCTGTGATTTTTTGATTTGAGTTTTATTGGAGTTTTGGTTTATAGTGATTTTTAGTTATATTCTTTGATTATTGAAATACAATGGGCGAAAAACAGAGTTGTTCCAAGAGAAGATAGCAAAATTCTGATGTTGATTCCAAAAATGAAAAGCAGCAAAAGAGACGGAAAATGTTAACGTCCGAAGAAAAGGTAATGATACGAAACGTTTATGAAGGAATTGTCGACAGAAAATGGCCAAGCGGTCAAAATTTGTAGCAGTTTAACAAAAGTATCCGTTAGCTGTATTTATCGTGTACTTAAAAATACATCGGAAAATTAAAAGCAAGAAAAAGGTAAAACTAGAGGTAGGAAAAGCATTGATTTGGATGAGACAAGGAATTATATACGTCGAAAAATTCATTAATTTTATTTTTGGAGTGAAATTCCAACACTGAAAAAAATTTCTCAAGAGCTCGAAAACAATGACTCCTTACCCAAGATATCTCGTAGAGTCTTTAGAAAAGTCTATTAGAAAAAAATGAAATTATTCTGCAGAGAAGAATATATTTAGAAGAAATCCGCAAAATTCGCAGCACTGGACGCAAAATATATTATTTGGATAAAATCTGGATTAACGAAGGTCATACAGTTAGAAAAGTTTGGCAAGATTTAAATGTCAAAAGTAAACGCGAAGCATTTATAGAAGGCTGGTCTACAGGATTAAAAGCTCCATCAGGAAAAGGACGGCGTTTAATCATCACCCATATGGGAAGTGATACAGGGTTCCTTAATGATCATCATCATCATCAACTAGCCTCTAACGTCCACTGCTGAACATAGGCCTCTCGCATGCTTTTCCACTTAGTCCGATTTTGCGCCATCTGAATCCAATTTGTAGTCACTCTTTTTATGTCATCTGTCCATCTGGTTGGGGGTCGACCTCTATTTCTGTAAGCTTGTATTCGGGTTCTCCATTCCAAAATTCTTTTTGTCCACCGGTCATCAACTGATCTTGCTACATGACCTGCCCAGTTCCACTTTAGTGTTGTTATCCTTTCAATAACGTCTGCTACTCCTGATCTTTTGCGTATAGTAGCATTGGGTATTCTATCACGTAGAGAAATCCCTAACATAATTCTCTCCATTGCTCTTTCCACAACTTGTAGTTTACTCACTGTTGTTCTTGTGAGCGTTAGGGTTTCTGCGCCGTAGGTCATCACTGGCAAAATACATTGATTAAATACTTTTCTTTTCAGACACATTGGAATCTTAGACCTAGAAATATCCTTCATCCTTCCAAATGCAGCCCAAGCGAGGTTTATTCTTCTTTTCAGCTCGATTGTTTGGTTGTCTCGACTTATTCTGATCTCATGGCCCAAGTATTTATAGGAGTCAACTGGCTCAATATCTTTGTCTTCTACTGAGATGTTTTTGTTGTGGACTAAATTTGTCATAAATTGTGTTTTTGAAAAATTTATTGTAAGACCAACTCTTTTTGTGGCGGTATGGAGTTCTTGGAGCATTATCTGTGCCTGATCAAAGCTGTCTGCAATAAGAACGATATCATCTGCAAATTTAAGGTTATTTAAAAATTTTCCATCTACATTGATGCCCTTTTCGTTCCAATCTATTGTTTTACAAGCGTATTCTAGCAAAGTTGTAAATAATTTAGGAGACATGTTGTCTCCTTGCCGAACGCCTCTTTCAATACGAAAAGTCCCAGTATCTTCATTAAGTCTTACACAGGCTGTAGCATGTTGATAGATGTATCTGATGAGAGATATGTATCGGTGATCTATTCTACATTGTGTTAGAGCTTGGAGCATTTCACTTTGATTGACCGTATCAAATGCTTTTTCAAAGTCGACAAAGACAAGTATCAGGGGTCTATTATATTTAATGGTTTTTTCAATCAACGACTTAATGGTTTGCCGTATCCAGCTCTAAATCCTGCTTGCTCGCAAGGTTGATAGAAGTCTAGTTTTGATGCCAACCTATTAGTTATTATCTTCATAAACAACTTATAAACGTGAGATAACAAGCTAATAGGTCTATAGTTCTTTAGCTCTGATCTCCCTTTTTGTGATAACAGCTTTATTCCACTGAGATGGTGTAACCTCGTTTGAAAGGCATAAGTTATATAATTGCGTCAATGCTTTCAATACTGTCTTTCCTCCTGCTTTAACTGCCTCAATAACGATTTGATCATCACCAGCTGCTTTATTGTTTTTCATTCTATTTAATGACTTTAAGACTTCTTCGATTGTTATTTCTGGGATATCCTCTGAACCCACATTCTGGACTTTTCTCAACTTGGTGCCGTCTTTCTTCCCCCTTTCTCTATATAATTCTGTGTAAAATTCTTCAACTACCTTAATTATCTTATCTTTATCTGTTACCACTTTTCCATTTCGATCTGCGAGCTTAACAATGTTCTTCTTACCTAGAGCTTGACATCTCTTCAGCACCTTTAAACTTTTATTTTTCTCGACAACCGTTGTAATCTTTTTTGTGTTATATTGTCGTAAGTCCTTTCTCACTGCTTTATTAATATCTTTATTAAGTTGTTGTAGTACGCGTGCATTCGTATCGTTTTTGTTCTTAAGTTCTCTTCGTGCCTCCATAAGTCTTTTTGTTTCTTGACTGAGCTTTTCCTCCTTATCTCTCCTAGAATTTGTATTGAACTTTTTCTCTGCGTTCTTAATAGCTTTTATTAAGTAATCATTTAAGGTTTTGATATCCATAACGTCTATATTTGTTGTCTCTAGACATCTCAGAATTTCCTCTTCGAAGGACATGGTGTTTTCGATTGGATCCATTCTATTGGGTGTGTTTTTGTTATCATTTTGTATCTTTGTTTTTGGAGATTTAGCACGATCTTCGCTCTTACCATTCTATGATCACTTCCCACTGAACAGCTATTAAGAACTGTTACATCATGGATCATGTCTTTGTTGTTGGTTAAGACAAAATCAATTTCATTTTTGGTTACTCCATCTGGACTTGCCCAGGTTCATTTTCTTTGGGGACTTTTTTTGAAAAAGCTATTCATTGTTAAGAGGCCATTTCGTACCAAGAAACCCAAAAACATTTCGCCCCTTTCATTTCTTTGTCCGAATCCATAGGGACCTATTGCTACTTCGGTCCCGTCTAGTTTACATCCCAACTTAGCATTAAAGTCACCCATTACTAGGTTGTGTGTAGTAGGCGCTAGTTTTACAGCATTTTCTAGGTCTTCATAAAAGGTTTCCACTTCCTCGTCCGAGTGTGTAGATGTAGGTGTATAGGCTTGAATTATTTTAAGGCTGGTTTTTTTATTAAGCTTCAGTATGCAGAGTATTATTCTTGGGTTGATACCTTTAAGTTGTTGGATATTTTTAGTGTGTCTCTTATGTGTAAGAAGTCCAACTCCTCCTATTTTTTCTTTGTTTCCCATATAGAAAAGTTGATGCCCTGATTTAAGAGCTATACAGTTTTCTTCTTCACGTCTTGCTTCACAGAGACCTATAACGTCCCATTTTATGTGTTTTAACTCTTCTTCTAATTCCAGTAATTTTTCTTCAGATGACAGTGTTCTTACATTGTACGTGGCGATATACATTTGTCGTCGTCCGTGGTAGCCTGATCTGACCCGGGGATTATTCGCACCCTCTGTTTGCTGTCTTTCTTGATCGCTACCTTGACCAAGGAGCAGCTCAGTGCCGGGGACTGAGGGCCGTGTTTTTGTCGTGTCAAACATGCTTGGATTTTAGCCAGACTCTACCGCGCTGGCCAGTGCGAGTTGGTAGAGGGTAGGATGAAGGTATGAGTTTTAAAAGGGGGGATAGGAAAAGGGTATGAGGACCTCGTTCCCTCAGGCAAGGAAGAAGGGAGAACCAGAAGCTAGCATAAGGCAGGGTCACTAATCCCTGTAGCAGCCTGTCTTCTACTGGGATTGTAGAAGAGTGCTACCTGCCACCTATATGATGATGGTTTAATGATGGTTTGCTTCAATTTGAGTAAACAAAAACAGATGATTATCATGAAGAAATGACTTCCGAAGTATTTGAGTGCTGGTTTAAGAGAATCTTACCAAAATTGGAACCTGCGTCTGTGATTGTTAAGGACAATGCGCCATATCATAGCCGCAGACTAGAACAATTACCGACGACGGCATGGCGGAAAGAGAAAAATTCAAGAATGGCTTACAGAAAAGGGATTGCAAACGAAGAATCAATGCTCAAAATTCAGCTACTTGACATTGCACGGTTAAGGAAAAGTGAATATCTTGAATATGCTGTGGATGAAACTGCAAAAGATTATGGTATTAAAGCTCTGCGTCTACTATATTATCATTGCGAACTTAATCCCATTGAACTTCTCTGGGCGCAAATAAAAGGAGAAGTAGCAGACATTAACAAAACGTTCAAATTAAACGAAGTTAAGGAACTTTTGATTCAAGCAATCCTCCATGTAACTCCAGAGAAATGGGCTAAATGTATAGGCCACATAATTAAAGAAGAACATCGTATGTAGGAACTTGACTCTCATATCGAAGTTTTACTAGAGCCAATTATATTTATACCAGGTGAAGATAATGGCAGCGATAGCAGCACTGCATCTTCAGATTTAGACAGCGAATAATATTTTCTAATAGTTTAGTATATTCACATTATACATCAGCATAAAAAACCAAAAATAAAGAAAAATAAACAAGAACAACATAGTAAGTGTGTACATAGTGTTTGTATTTAAATAAAATAGTACAATGTTTTGTTACATCAAAAATTATTTTTAGTTTGTTTTTATAGAATTTTATTTTGGTTTATAGGATTTTATTTTGTTTTGTTTTATACTTTTTAGGTGTTTTGTTCATTTTATTTAGTGGGACAATGTGGCTCTTGGCGAACACCCATTTAAAAAAAGTAACTCGCCACAAGACATACCTCTGGGGTGGTGTGGAAACTGTCTTAAAATTTGTTTTAAAAAAATTTCATTGTGTAACTCTTTATGGACGGGTCACGTCAAAAGACGATTTAGCGTAACTTCCGCGATAGCCGGAATGCATCAGTAAGCTTTCTGCAAAATTACTTGTTTTTTATAGCTTTTTGTTTGTGACATTCTGTATTTTTGGGAGACCGTAGGTAATAAGCCACAAAATATTTATTCATATGTTTAATTTACTGACGTTTCGATCTCTATATAAAGAGACCGTTTTCAAATATAAAAATGATAGTTATATTTATTTTTTTATAGCTTTTTGGTTGTGGCATTTCAAGAGAAAATGGAAATAATCCACAATATATTTTTACATGTTTAATTCACTGTTTCTTCTGTATTCCAGAGACCGTTTTCATAGTTAGAAAAAAATAGAAAATAAATAATATAATATTATATGAATACATTATAATAAAAACAAAAAATAAAAATAAATATAACTATCATTTATATCTCTGAACAAGGTCTGAAAAAGAGATTGAAACGTCAGTAAAAACCTGTAAATAAATATATTGTGACTTATTTCGAACAAACAATATTTAAAAATATAATATAATTAACATTGAAATAAAAGTGAGTGTACGCCACTGAAATTTCATACGTCTTTCCTCACTTCACCGCCTTCAAAAGATGACATCACTCTTCCAAATAGTGGAATTATAGTATAGGTGACCATAATTTATTATGCAAAATAGAAGATAACATGATTTACCTAAATAGAAGTTTAAAGTCATTTAATGATTAGATAGTTTTATTTTAACCCTTTCGATCACCCTGTAGAAATACGTCTACATCAACTCCTAAATTAGTTTATATATATTTAGGAACAACAACACCAGTTTTAACCGTTATTATGAGTCCTCTAGATTCTACAGGTTAATTATAAAATACGTGCTGCCCTCTATGTGACAGTTGTAAAATTATATAAAATTTACAAATAAAGTGTTTAAAGCTATTAACAAAATTTTGGCAATTTCTGCACTGATACAGATAACACTGATCAAAAATATGTCTGAATTTGTAGTGCTTCATTTGTTAGACAAAACTAATCTCTTTTGAGATCAAACATTTATAAAAATTATGATAATATATTCACCTACAAGCACAACATTATAATCTAACATATTCATAATTCGTGACTGAAAGGGTTAAGTTTTAATTCATTTATAGAATAGAATGAAGTAAGTGATTCATATTAGAGGTTATTTTAAGCATATTTTAATACCTACTGCAGTCAACATTCTCTTTAAAGTCACAATATTGTTTCTCTTGGTTCCACCATAAACCTGATGGACATTCCATGATAATTCCCTTTCCAACATAACACTCAATATATTCAGCACAATTAACTGGATCTGGCCAGTAGGTTGCTTCATTTCCCGGTAGAGGACACTTAAACTCGGCTTGTACCGCAGCTATAATACATTAAAATAAACATCTTACAAATAATAAATAACTGAGCATTGTAGAAATAACAAGTCCAAGCATAATAAATAAGTCTAGCATAATAAATAAGTATAACAAATGCTAAACAAACACCTAATACAATAATTTAGGTAAAGCGCAGATAGCACCACCATACTTTCAAAATATTTTCAAATATACCAGACCACACACATTGACTGGGTAGAACAAAATTATCTTTTTTTAATGAAAACATTTTTACATTTTTGGCCTCTTCTCGATATTCTCGTTTTTGCAATAAAACACTTAAAATAATTCCTCCTTACAAAGTGTTTTATTACAAATATTCTAAAATAATTATAGCTCATTGTTTTAACACCTTGTGTGCTGTAATTATGAAATTACTCTTTCAGAAATTATCAGCCTTATAAGCTGTAGGGCTCATTTAAAATGAAGTAGGCTGATGACATTTGTTTATGTTGCAACTGCCAGATCAATGACTTTGTTTTCTCAATGATGAAAGTAATCTTTTGAACAATGTCACGCTGTTATAAAAATTATCCATAAATAAGGTGTGATCAACATTGAGCTTCGAATTCGTCAAACGTAGAACTACTTTTTCTGTATGATTTTTCCCCAATTGCTGCATCACTTGCTCCATTATAAACTGACAGAGGTTGAATCATTCCTGTGCATTCTGTTAAAATGTATGATTTGATCATATATTTGTGACGTTGGCCCTTGAGAAACGTCTCAATTAGTTGTAGGTTTATACCCGATTTATTTAATTATTCTTTTTTTGTTTTGTATCACCGACCCAGTTAAATATTGCAAATTTAACCTTCGATCATCACCTACAATTGCGATAACTGCCAAAAATATCCAATTTATCAAATACCTTTAGAGAACTTTGAACCCTCAATTAAGGTAACTAACAAACCAACTGGTGACGACAAACGAAGAAATAAATATTCAGGAGAAAGAGGTAAAGGAAGCATTAAGGAGATTAAAAAATGGAAAATCACCAGGAGAGGACAGAATACCGAACGAACTCCTAAAGTAAGGAAGACCAGATCTGACCAAACAACTATTAAAACTAATCCAAAAAATAATAGAACAAAACAGAATTCCTTAAGAATGGAAATCAAGCATCCTAATACCTCTTTTTAAAAAGGGAGACAAAACGGACCCGGAAAATTACAGAGGAATTAATGTATTAAACACAAAACTAAAATAAACAATAAAATGGGTAACAAATAAATTGAATAAAATTATAAAACTATCAGAAGAACAACAAGGTTTTGTCTTTAAGATTATGCACCGACGCTGTATTTAGAATAAGGCAAGTGCAAGAGACATCACTAGAATACAACAAACCGGCATATCTATGTTTCGTGATCTTACAGAGGCATTTGACCATGTCAAATTGAAAGACATTATCCACTTACTGTATGCAAGAGAGATACCTCTAGGAATACTCAAAACGATCGAAAATATCTACCAAAACAACACAATAAAAGTAAAAGTAGAAGAAACATGTTAATTTCTCCAAAAAAAGACAAAATGCATGGTTACAACAGCAAATTTATTAAGATGTAAATTGGAGCTGGAAGGATAGATACTAGAACAAGTGATGAAGTTTAAATATATAGGCATCACATTATCTAGCTACGGAAAGCTCGGAACCGAAGTGGAATATCAAATGAATAGAGCAAACAGAGCCGCAGGTTGCCCACTATTTTAGAATAAAATCTAAAACCTTTATTGATTTATTATTTAATAAGAAAATTTGGCCACCTCGCGTAAACATTAAATGGTCTATAAATTCCCCATATTCCGAACTAACGCCTTCATCTGAGTCAAATATGAGTCCAAAGAACATCAGAAGGCCTATTAGATTGGAACATTAAATTACCATTTCAAGCAACAACAAAAATGATGCAAAAAACACGAAAATACTCACAGACAAGCAGGCCATCGAGATTTGCAAATTTAAGAAGCCTTTTCATTTCCATATTCATTTTATTAGGAAAGATAATTTGGAACCGGCGATAAATCTAGATCCTTTGACCCCACCAAGAATTAGATAAACCGATAATTCGAATAGTCTATATCTCCTAGCAAGATTAAAGGAACCGGATATCTTAAAAGTCATTAAGCTACATCTTGCTTTTCTAGATGACCAACCTGCTTCAGTATGTTATAGTGGATTTAGCGAAACAAGCGTTAAACTCTTTTTGGCTTTTAAAGTACTTCCAACTAAGACTGAAGACCGAAAAATCCTTCTAAAATTTATTGTTGTTTATAGAATTGGTCCAACTAAGGTGGAAACTGATCCTAATGCTTTTAGGTCCTTTTTCAACTCGGAAATAATTATTCGAAAAACGAAATTTTAAAACAATACGACGCGCGACGCCGACGTGCTCTGTGGGACTAGAAACATCCAATTATTTTAGTATGACAATTTTTGCATGTTTCTGATAAATATTCGTTCTATAAGATATGAAACAGCTTATAAAGTTAACGAGTCTTTTTTTTGTAGAAAAATATACCACAATTGCTAGGTAAGATCGTCCAAGTTCAGCTCATGGTGGCACCCTAATTCTTTCTACAAATAATGATTTCTCTCCTATAACAAAATACGACTTTCTGTTGAGGGACGCCTTCCTTAATTTTTCCTTAATTTATAATAATAGTCTTAATCTTTAGATTCTTTGTATTTATAGGTCACCTGACTCTTCCACGGAACTATTTTTTCAGAAGCTGATAAATTTGTTAGAAGACCTGGCCAATAAAGGTAGAAAAATTTTATGCGGTGACTTCAATATCAATTCTTCTTCAGTGCCTTATCCGGTCCGGGTGTTGGCGATCATCAAGTCCATCATGGTTTTATTGATTGCTCTGCAAAACAGCTCCGCGAAGTTCATCCCAAACCATTGTCAGAGGTTTTTTAACCACGAGATATGACGGCGCCCCTGTCCTAATCTGCCAAATACTTTACCCTGTATAACGAGTTGAAGAATTCGATATTTTTCTTAGTTCCGTATCACGTTCCCCAGGTACTAAAGCTTACGTTGTTACACTAAATTAAGCACTTCTTTTTCCTTTTTCATGCGCTGTAGGATCTTAATGTTGGTAACATGGTCCACATACAATATTTTTAGTATCCTGATGTAGATTCACATCTGGAAGGCTTTACTCCGCTTTTCTGTGGCTTGCGTCAGTGTCCAGGCTTCAACTCTATATAGTAACACTGGAAGAATGTAGCATCTCACAATACGCATCTTGGTTCCCAAACTGAGATCACTACAGCATAGCAAGGATCTCACTTGATAAATATAGACCGTGCCATTTCAATTCTGGATCTAATCTCTAGAGCGTAGTCCCATTGTGAGTTGGGGGTAATTCCGAGGTAAGTGAATCTGTCGACTCTCTGAATCTCTTCGCTACCTGCCATTAGTGCCCCGGATCTAAATTTGCACGGCTGACAACCATGAATTTAGTTTTCTTAATATTAAGGTCTAGTGCGTATGTTACGCTCACATTTCTCACTCGGTCTGGTAAGGCTTGTAGATTATTTAGGCTGGTTGATAGTAACACAGTGTCATCGGCGTAGTCGATATTATTGATGTATTCACCGTTTACTCGAATTCCTATCTCTAGGTTTGTGAGGGCTTCAGTAAAAATCTTCTCAGAGTATATATTGAAAAGCGTCGGCGAGAGCACACAGCCTTGCGTTACTCCTCGCATGATCTTCACTTGATAGGTCAGCACGCTTGACACGCATTGACACGCTTAACAGCTTTAACTTGAGCACGCTGGTTCCAGTATAAATTCATGATTATCCGAATATCCTTCTCATTCAATGCTAATCTTTGTAGGAAAGCGAATATCTTCTGGTGCTGACATCTGTCAAATGCCTTGGCGTAGTCAATAAAACAAATATAGACATTACAACTGACATATTGCGAGAATTATTAAGAGACTTATAAAAGCCCGACTTTGTCCCTTCTCCTTAAAAACAACATTTTATCACAAAATCCGTTCGGATTTTTATCTAATAAATGTACCAGTGATGCTATGTTTTCTATGCTATATTAGGTTTACCAAGAACTAAACAATAACTTTACACTGCAACTGTTTTTATGACTATCCAAAGCTTTTGATTGTGTAAATCACATGTTGATAAAAAAAACTAAATTTTTACAAAATTTGAGGTATTTCTTTAAATTGGTTTCAATCTTATTTAAGGAATAGGAAACAACTGGTTAGAGCAAATAGTACTAACTCTAATCACAAAAGCATTCTATGTGGAGTACCACAAGGTTAAGTATTGGGTCCTCTTTTGTTTTTCTTTATAAATGACATCACTAATTTAAACATCGATGAAAAATTTGTTCTCTTTTCTGATAACATCAGTATCACCTGGAGCAACTCTAATAGGGCCCCTAGGGTCCTGTTATGTGCAATATTCACTGATAGTCGAGTTGTCGGAGTAGAACGTGTTTTAATTGCTAATACAATTTAAAAAACCATCAAATTTTATTTTCTAAATAATATTATATATAATAATTTCTAAATAATTGCAAATATCTGGTAATTTTTATAATAAACTTAATTTAAAGAATTTTCAAATTTTTAAATTAGTTAATTATAATGACCCAAGAGAAATAACATCTTTTTGAAAGATCTAAGACTCAAATCTTTTATTGAGAGGCAAATAATACTTACATGCTGCAAGAGCAAAGAAGCATGCTGACAGGAGATCTGAAAAAAAAAATAAATTAATGTATTCAGTTTACTTCGTAATGCTGTATTCTTCGTGATCTAGCTCGTAGCGTCGCAATATAATCTCATCGGGGCTTGTCATTCAGTCAGTCTGTTTTAAAATTTACTTTTTATAATGACCGCTGGTGCTATCGTCGCATTCGTTTGAATGGACCATCTATACCATTCTATACCATCAAACTGTTGCTCTTTAAGCGGCATTTTTAGTTCTGGAAACACAAAAAGAGGTGAAAGGATGCTATGTCGGGACTCTACAAAGCCTGGTGTGGTTATGTAACATTAAGTTTTTCCAAAAACAAAATTGTTATACAAGATTCGAAGAATGCACTGATGCATTATCGGAAACTGTTTCATTCTTACTATATCACGCTATCTTAAAAGTTCAAAGTTGAATTTCTTTCTTGATCTTACTTTTTGGAGCATATTCAGGATGCATAACATCTTTATAACAAAAAAAAAAAAAATAAGTGAGTCATTCACAAATTCATAGTGAGAATTTATGAAACATGTTTTCGGAATTCCAAGATTGTTTTATAGTGTGCAGTTTCTTCTGCGTAAAATCAAGATGCGTGTAGTGAGGTGCTATATTCTTCCATATGGAGTTGAAGCCTGGACACTGACACAAGCCACAAAGAAGCGAATTAGAGCCTTCGATATGTACTCGAGAAAAGACGATACTAAAAATATAGTATGTGGATCATATTACCAACGTACACCATATGAGAAAAGAAAAAGAAGTGCTTAATTTAGCGAATCAACGTAAGCTTCAGTACCTCGGGCACGTGATCCGGAACGAAGAAAAATGTCGAATTCTTCAACTCGTTATGTAGGGTAAAGTATTTGCCAGGAGAGAACCGGACGCCGTCGTATCTCGTGGTTAAAAAAACCTCAGACAATAGTTTGGGATGACCTCAGTCAACAAAACGAGGATAGCCTTGATGATCGCCAACATCCGGACCGGATAAGGCATTGAAGAAAAATAAAGTAAATCGAAACTTATTCCAAATGGGCTGCTCACGACTCTGTCATTTTCGGCGTGATAACAAAATGCAACTAAATATTTAAAGTTTACAATTCATTTTCATTTAACTTTGTTTGCCATTTACGACTTTTTTTAAGTTATTACTAAGAGAAAAAATTAAACATTTATCATTACCTAACTGATAAGGGGCAAATTATAAAAAAACTATGCCAAATAATTTATATTATCGTATTTATATTTAAAGTCAAGTATCAAATCGTGTATCTGTCACATATTAAAAATGGCGAAAATTTCATATATGAATATAAAAAGTTTTGATTTATCGATGTCATATATATCTGCATATCGTAATGCAATCAAAGTGATACTAACAATCGGTGTTATCTTGTTTTTAATAACCTTGGAATAATAGCGTTATCTATATATTTAATCAGCTGTAGATATTATTCGGCTAGGAGCCTCTTTTTCTTTCTTTTTCAATTTAGATTGGTGTTATTTTGGTACATACATACATAATCCAGTATGCACATTACCGTTAAGGATGTGGAGATTTTGATTAGTCCTGTTTTACATCTATTACGATCCAGTGCTAAATGTTCCGCTTTTTGTTAATTTACTCCTTGTTTTTCACGACCCTTTTTGATTATATCTATTCATGTTTGTATTCTTGTTTAGTAAAGCAGACAAACTGATCATACTTGGTGATTTTAATATAAATTTTAAAATTAAATTTGACTCCTCTTTTGATATTCAAAATCTGTTATACCTTTTGATGTAAATGTAACTATACATTTATCATTTTGATCTAAATGTAACTATAATCACATGTCAGTCCAGTAATTGCATCGACAACATTATGGCAAATTTTTCTAAAAATATCAAGCTCAATTTACTTTATTAACTCAACATAAACGTTGTTGACACTAATCAAACATTTCAACGGTTTATTACTTGTTCTGGTTTACAGAAGCATAAACGTGCACTAGCTATTACAAATATGGACTTTTTCTATGATACCAATAATGATAACTGATTTTTTGAAGTTCTTTCTAACCGAAACTTATAACAACTTAATATAAAGCATTTTCCACTAAAAAAGTATGACAAACTGCGACAAAAAAACACCCGTGCAATGGTTTACTAATGAATTAAGGTCTTAAAGATCTAATGTTTCTCTTATTAAACACATTGAAGATGCTACTATGGGTCCCAATATGTTCAAAATATATTAACACCAAAAGGTTGAATATAATCGGCAATTACAATATGCTAAAAAGTCAGCTTACTGTGATTTTATTACTAATTATTATAATAAACCTAGAGACTGCTGGATAATAATAAATTTCGAAAGAAACAATATAAGATCTAGTTCGGTAGAACCTGATATACCTACAGAAAAAGTAAATTAATTTTTTAGTACAATTGCACACAAATTTCTCAAATAATAAAGTCTCTTAATAATTCCAACTATAGAGAAGTTCACGAAATAAATAGGAAGGTTTTTAAAAATATTTACCAAATAGTTTTAACACCTTCCACTCATCTTATTAACTTAATTCTATCAACTGCAGTATTTTCGGAAGTACTAAATTAGTCAAAAGTACTACCTCTCTATAAAAAAGGTGATTCCTCAAAAACTGATAACTACGGACCCATAAGCATTGTTTCTACTTCTGGGAAAATTGAATAATAAGGTTATCAAACACTAATCCTATTTTGAGTCCAAAATATGTAAATAATACGTAATTTAGCAACTCACAATATGGATTCAGAAGTGCTTATTCTACTAGTAAAGCGGTATATATAATGTTGTGAACGAGGTGATTGAGGGGCATGAACCAGGCAAACGCATAGCAATTTCTCGTTCCGACTTGTCGAAGGCTTTTGGCTGGGTGACACGACATTTTGCTCCACAAATTGAATTACTATGTAGTCCGAGGTATCCCTCTTAAGCTTATAACTTCTTACCCTATGTGGCAGACACCAGGAGGTAGTGTCTAAAAGTCATCTCTTCGATTTTCTATCTGTAAAACATGGAGCCCACAAGGTTCGGTTTTAGGACCTCTTATGTTTATTATTTATGTCAAATATTTGCCTAAATTCATATATCCGTACAAATCCGTATAATTCGCTGATGATATGACATACGTTATACCAGGAAAAAGTATTGATGATTTAAAAATATCTTATGAGGAAGTTTCTACCAAATCTAGCACATGGTTTGCTGTAAACAGACTGAAACTTAACTTAGATAAAACGCAAAACTTGGTTGTATGATTGCGTCATTCAGATAAAAATTGTCTTTTTTTTTATTTCAGATTCGGATTCCTGATTAACAAATAAGTACCTTTAAAATGGAACAGTTTTTTCGAATTATTGATAGATGGCGTTAGATCGGAAAAACGAATTATAGTGATATCCTAGGAAAATTATTAAAACGGTTTAATATCTCGAAAAATATACTTCTACATTTAAAATCAAAAAACACTTGTTTAATAATTTTCAACAATCTATGGAATGGTAATAAACACGACCCCTCACAACCCCTCTCTGGGGGTGAGGCGGGGGACAACTTTGAAATCTTAAATAAAAAACCTCATTTTTTATGGTAGGTTAGGATTCTACGCAAAAAAGTACACAAGTTTTATCTGAATAATCACATACATTGATTAATAACTTTTTAGGAATGTTTTGTAGCAATAAAAAATGGGGGGTTTATTTAAGATCTATTTAAGATTTCAAAGTTGTACCACGCTTACCCTCAGAGGGTGAGGGTGCGGTGTTGTGTTTAGTGCTATTCGATAGATCTCTGAAAAAATTGTATGTTTTTTGTTTTTTCAATTGAAAGTGTATTTCTCGAGATATTAAACCGACCATTAAACCATTTCCATAATTTTCCTAGATAATCACGATAAATCGTTTTTTTTTTTCGGTTCTTACGTCCTCTATCAACAATTCGAAAACAATTTCTCTTATAAAAGGTACTTACTCCAAAGAAGAAAGAATCCAAATGTGGAATAAAAAATGGAAGTTTCTATTTGAAATTTCAAAGTTGCCCCTCCATTCCGTAAGGGGTGTCTACCCGGCAATACCACAATAACCTCCCATAATGGTCCCATCTTTCATACCACTATTTTGAGTATGCCATGACAAATTTTGATCTTTGGGCGTTGAGGCTATAATGTTAGTAGTTTATCATATACAATGTGCCAATAATTAGTTTATTTTTTAGGACATTTTCCAGAAACTATGTATAATTCTTAACAGCAGCAACAAAAGTATTGGTTCTTTAAATAAAACAAAGTTTAAATAAGGAGTCTAAATTAAGATCTCTGTAATTCTGGGTGACGTTATAACTAAATATGCTAATTAATAGATGCACAAGACAATCCACATGTAGGCTCTAGAAGATTATTCTATAGCTTTATTCTAAAATTTAAGCAAAGGTTGGCATATAGCCAAGAAATGAGAGGATCGCAATTTGGACATCTTATTTAAACTGTTTTTTAGTTAAATAACCAATAGTTTTAATTTTGTTGTTAAAAATTCAACATAGTTTCTTTAAACCATCCAGTTATTAATTTGACTTTAAACTCTTTATATTTCAATAACTACTAACTTTAGGAGAATAGTGATTCAAACTGCCGTTCATTGATTTTCATCATCTATCTAGTTTTGCAAAAAAGGTACATTAAAAAAAAACAAATGGTAACGTCGTCATAATTGTTATTATCCAAAATAAAAGCAAAATAAAATTCAAAAACCAACCTCTCTCAGCATTTCTTTCTAATATGTTACATTTTTAAAATATTGAGGGTGGGTCCCTTTAAAACGACCTTTGATATATATATATATATATATATATATATATATATATATATATATATATATATTATCATAACTAAATATATCTACATAAACTTATCTAAAAAACTTTAAAAAACAAATAAATATAACTCTATAATGATGTACGCATATGTTTTACTTACATTTCATTTTGATTTTTTTATATCCAGTACAACAATGTATAGCCAGCCCACTTATGTTGTGAAAAAAATGAAAAAAATACAGTATTTATAATCTTAATGCTTATCTGATTTTGTATCGTTCTTCCATCAAGCAATATAGGCGCCTATTTAGTATTATCTTAAAATATTGACAATAAAAATATGATTTTCGTTGAACAAGTTACTGCTAAGAAATTACGTTTGAATTGTTACTAATCTTAATTATTATAAAGTAATTCAAATAACATTCTTAAGATACTTTAAAAGTTACGAGTTTTGTATATGTTACTCTAAATAATCGTATTTTAGAAGGAAAAATTAGACTTAAAAGAGAAGTGTAAAGTATAATTATTTTAGGATATATATATATATATATAATATATATATATATATATATATATATATATATATATATATATACTATACAGGGTGATTGATTAGTGTGAGAAACTCAGTAGATCTGTTATAGTAAAAATTACTAAAAAAAGTTATTAACAAAAATTGTAGGCACCTTTAAACTCCACATTTTAAAATTAGTTACAATCTTACAGGGTGTTCCATAAGATGGTGGCATACCAAACTTATGTTTTTTTTAAATGGAACAACCTATATTTTATTTTAAATTTAAAATCGGCTTCACTTCCACATCACAACAATGTAAAGTTTTATTATGTTATACCGGGTATCTAAAAAGTTATAACCAATATTACCTGAAAATCGTATCAAGTTTAACTCCCTGTGCAATTAAAAAGGAGTATAGGAACATTGATCTATTGCAACCATAGTTTTTAAATAATTGTTTAAAAATTATAAAAACATATTCGTTTCCATATTATTCGTTAAATCAAATACAGGGTAAGTCAAAATGCAAATACATTATTTTCTTGGTAATTTTAAATAGAACACCCTGTAATGAAATCGTAGGCTTCCACGGCCAGAGTCAGAATTATAGTTTATTCGTCTTCTGGGTTTGGACCGTGTCATTTGTGAGTGACCCAAAAGTGGGTTCATCTCTAGATGTGGGTTCATCTCGAGATGACCCACTTTTGGGTCACTCACAAATGACACGGTCCAAACTCGGAAGACGAATAAACTATAGAACACCCTGTATTTTATATCACTATCAAAAAGTAATAATATCGTACTTCAAATTTTATAAAGTACTCCCTATACCTAAAGTTATCAGTTTTCTAGATATTATTGTTTTTTCATCAAAGTATTAATTTGGTAGATATTTTAACGTTTACCAACTCACAATATGTATAATTATTGTGAGTTGGTTATGATTGATTTGTCAAAAACTGACAGTTTGACATTATTGTTTAATTAATTTAGTAACGAAATAACGACACAGAAAAGAAAACAATTTATTTAAAATAAAATTTATAAAAAATAACCGACGGAAAATAAAAAAAAATATATAACAACACATAGAAAAATTAAAAACAACAGTAAGTTTAACTTATCTTACTTAAGTAAGGTGTTCAAAATGACCTCCCAAAACATCTATGCATGCTTGAAAACGGTCATTGAAAGAGTTAGTTACATTACTAAGCATTTGTAAAGAAATATTTTGAAATGCAATTCGGATTCTATTTTTCATATCATCCCTTGTTGTTGGGGGTATTTTATATACTTCGTTCTTAACGTAACCCCAAAAAAATGAGTCCATTTTATTGAATTCTGGTGACCTTGGGGGCCACCTTACCGGTCCATCCCTTCCGATCCATCTTTCCCCAAACTGATTATTAAGTTCACCACGTACTAATTCGTTGTGGTGCGCAGGAGCACCGTCATGTAGAAACCACATTTTTTCACGTATATTAAGTGGAACCTCTTCTAATAATATCGGTAACTGATTTACGATAAAATCTAAATAAATCTCACCATTTAAATTATCTTCAAAAAATATGGTCCTACTACATGGTTACCGACGATACCTCCCCACACATTTAGAGACCATCTTGTTTGACTATGTGTTGCTATGTGGTATGGATTACTTGTTGAGTAGTAGTAAAAGTTATGCCTATTAAAAGAACCGTTTCGATGGAATGTAGCTTCATCACCAAATAGGACATAATCAAAAAAATCTTTCTGCTCATTAATTTTTTCTAAAGGCCCATTCACAAAATACTATTCGTTTCTGAAAATCATCATTAATTAATTCTTGGTGCTTTTGAATATGATAAGGGTGCATCTTGTTTTTAGATAGAATGTTTTGAACAGAGTAGTAACTAAGTTCTTGTTCATTGGAAATAGTCCTTATGCTTGTGTGTGGGTTTTCTGTAACCGCCATCAACACACTCATTTCGTTTTCCTCTGTCACACTAGTTTTTAAAATCAAAGACCGATATTTTTTGTACACACTTATGACAAGTAGAAAGAAAATGTAAAAAAGTATTTTTGAAGTGTGTATATTTTAGGCAATTCCTAGCTGAGCGCTTTCGGCTTTACAAAGCCATCATCAGAGCTATGCTACAATAAAATGTTCTTATAAGTACTAATTGGTAAAGATTATAATTTTTAACTTACGTCAATTTTTAAATACCACTACAAAGGAGAGATCTCATTTCCTTATATTTCAAAATTATGATTTTTTTAGTTGTTGAAATTCTTAAAACATATAAAAAACATATAAAAAGCCGACACTGGACTTCACAAACACGTTAAAAAAATTGAAAAATTTTTTTTGTCATGGTACGGGTGTAAGAACCCGACCATTGATTGATGTGAGGAGGTAGACAGAATAGAACTAATGAAATCAAATGTCGGTCCTTTTAAACGATTTTTCAAAAGTGACAGTTGACAAATGTCATATATAGGAAATAGAGATTGTTTTTTAAATTCTTACAAAATTATTTAATAGTTTGGAATTACTAATAGTCATCAAAGACTTTCTAAAAATTAAGTTTTTAAATTAAATTTTATGTGTTCATCACATCATACAGAATGACATTAGTTTGTAAATTCACTCAAGTCATTGCTCAAGGTCAATGTATGTTCAATCTGACAGCCATCCTTAAGAAACAAGGGCTCAAATTGTTCAACAATAATATAAAGAAGAAACATGGTATTAATGTTACGTTATCTGATACTTAAGTGTATTGAGAATTGTATCTCTTGATGGAAATTTGTAAGAAATTTGCATAAAAATTTTTTTAAGAATGTATTTTCATGTTTCAATTAAGAATAACTGTCAAATGAATTACAAAATGTTGTAAATTTCTAATAAAGTTTAAAATTTGTTTAAAAATATAAAAGTATGAAAAAATATATAATAAGATTGCATGAGGTCACCCTTCTTCCTCTAAAGTCTCCCATAATAATTTAAAAAGAGGTTTATAATTGCAATTGAGGTTGATTTGTGTGTTTAAGCAACAATCAGGGTTTAGTTTCATTTCTTTGGATATCTCAAGATCTTCCAAGAGATTCATGAGTCTAAAGTTTTTATTGGGAATGTTGTGTAAAATTTTACTGTTTTCAGAAGGAGAAAAGGAATGATTATTAAATTTAATGTGATATCCAAAGTTTGATTTTTCTGGGTTATTGAGGTGTTCTTTGATTCTTTGATTCAGAGTTCTCAATGTTCTTCCTACATAGTCAGAACAATGAGAACTCTGAATCAAAGAATCAAAGAACACCTCAATAACCCAGAAAAATCAAACTTTGGATATCACATTAAATTTAATAATCATTCCTTTTCTCCTTCTGAAAACAGTAAAATTTTACACAACATTCCCAATAAAAACTTTAGACTCATGAATCTCTTGGAAGATCTTGAGATATCCAAAGAAATGAAACTAAACCCTGATTGTTGCTTAAACACACAAATCAACCTCAATTGCAATTATAAACCTCTTTTTAAATTATTATGGGAGACTTTAGAGGAAGAAGGGTGACCTCATGCAATCTTATTATATATTTTTTCATACTTTTATATTTTTAAACAAATTTTAAACTTTATTAGAAATTTACAACATTTTGTAATTCATTTGACAGTTATTCTTAATTGAAACATGAAAATACATTCTTAAAAAAATTTTTTATGCAAATTTCTTACAAATTTCCATCAAGAGATACAATTCTCAATACACTTAAGTATCAGATAACGTAACATTAATACCATGTTTCTTCTTTATATTATTGTTGAACAATTTGAGCCCTTGTTTCTTAAGGATGGCTGTCAGATTGAACATACATTGACCTTGAGCAATGACTTGAGTGAATTTACAAACTAATGTCATTCTGTATGATGTGATGAACACATAAAATTTAATTTAAAAACTTAATTTTTAGAAAGTCTTTGATGACTATTAGTAATTCCAAACTATTAAATAATTTTGTAAGAATTTAAAAAACAATCTCTATTTCCTATATATGACATTTGTCAACTGTCACTTTTGAAAAATCGTTTAAAAGGACCGACATTTGATTTCATTAGTTCTATTCTGTCTACCTCCTCACATCAATCAATGGTCGGGTTCTTACACCCGTACCATGACAAAAAATTTTTTTCAATTTTTTTAACGTGTTTGTGAAGTCCAGTGTCGGCTTTTTATATGTTTTTTATATGTTTTAAGAATTTCAACAACTAAAAAAATCATAATTTTGAAATATAAGGAAATGAGATCTCTCCTTTGTAGTGGTATTTAAAAAATTGACGTAAGTTAAAAATTATAATCTTTACCAATTAGTACTTATAAGAACATTTTATTGTAGCATAGCTCTGATGATGGCTTTGTAAAGCCGAAAGCGCTCAGCTAGGAATTGCCTAAAATATACACACTTCAAAAATACTTTTTTACATTTTCTTTCTACATTAGTTTTTGTTCGTTCATGTTTTTCATAATTCACTGAACCAGTGCGGTTAAATCGATCTTTCAATTTTTCAAATGTATCTTGTCTAGGTTGTCGCCTATCTGGAAACCGTTCTTGATAAATTCTAGCTGATAGTAATGAATTTTTATTGCATTCCCCCAATATCCAGATCATATCTACCATTTCATCAGTAGTAAAATTCATTATTGCTAATTTAAATTGAATCAATTACTGAATTACTAAATAATAATTGTTGCTAATTTACGGTGTACTCCAATACTGAATTAATAAATATTAATGTCAAACTGTCAGTTTT